TTATCGAGGTCAAAGGTCAAGGTCATTCAAAAACCTTTTAAACTCGACTTTAACACTTGAAGCTGTATCAAGCTAAATATAAAATAATAACTCTTGGGTAAGGGTAAAGGTAAAGGTCAAGGTCAAACATCAAACTCAAAGGTCAAGGTTATGTGGCATATATAAGCAATTTAAATACTTTTCCAATGACCTTTGGTGTTGTTTTATTTCTTATAATTGGAAATTTTCGTTGTTTTTATTTTTTTTAATTTATTTTTGGTGGAGCTGACATATTTCAAAACTACTAAAAAATGAATAAAGTAATAAAAAAAAAAAATGGAAAGAAAAACGTTGGAATTTTTGATTTTTAAATTATCCTGTGAGACCGGAAGTGACGGCAGAGACATTTATTCACCACTTGTACAACGCCTGCGCGTCATAAGGTCAATCTGAGGTCAGGGGTAAAACAACCAGCGCTGCAATGTAAACAATGCTAGACCGAGAGTATGTGAATAACGGTATTAGACTCGATTAAATAATTTAGGCATAATTATTTAATTTAGATAAATTGATTATTTCACTAATTACTTATTTGAGGAAGAAAAAAATAAATAATCAGAGTTTTAAGACAGGAAACCTCGAAGTATATCCCGTTTCGAATTTGCTCGGTGTTTTATATTCTTCGTGCAAGAGGTTTATTATGTCAGATCAAGTTGTATTTTCTTGCAAGGAGATAGATGATATACTCAATACAAGTTCAACAGTTGCGTGTATTTAAATTTTCAATGTTTACAAAGGTTTAAGATGCTACGGAGTACTCCAAAGCTGTGCTCAACCAGTTTTTTCTTCTGAAAACAGCTGTGTCATTTGAACTATGTTGAGATATCGACAGGATTGAATGCAATATTAGCACGCAATATAATGGTATCAGCGTTTTGTCAGTTCTTTAATTTAACTGTTTTGACATCACACTGCTGCTGTTAATTTGCTCAAAGCACTGAATACAATCAATGATTTGAATTGAATCATGTGCTTACATTGGTCTATAACCGTGCTGTGAAAAAATTATCAACATGTACAGTTGGTACTTTTACCCAGGGTAATTACCTATGCTTTGATTGTACATGTATAAATACAGTGAAACCTATCTTATCCGACAATCACATGCACTGGGAGATGAATTTTGTGTCAGAATACAAAGGATGTCAGATTGAAAGTGTAAAATAATATTAAAATTAGTAAAGTGGGAAGAAATGTTAGGTCGGAATTTACAGTCATGAGTGTGATTGATTTCACAGGTGTCGGATTAGACAGTTTTCAATGCATATGCATTTATAAGCTGTGTCCACTTCTAAGAAATTTACAGTAGGCCCCTATGCAGTATATGTTATTATCAATTTCAGTTAAGTGTACAGTTAAGCATAACATCACATTCTATTATAACAGCTGCATTCAAGCTAAAGAGTACACGCCTCCTAGCCAGAAGCTTTACGACTGGAACCCTAATCCCTGATCGGTTGCTCCTGCAGCAGACTATTTCCGTGCCAATGTTGATAATGAGTTGACCAGTCACACAGCAGGGCGTGAATTAGTTACGCTGGGTGCATCTGTCGAAAAAGATTGTGACGTAATGCAAAACTGCACACTTAAATGAAATTAATAATAAATGTGGGATATGTTTATGATCAACAGAGGCAGATGAGGATTCCAACTTTCTGTGAGAGTAATTGTGGATGTAACAATGAATCAGATGTAGAAAACTTCAAAAGTTTATAGTGAAACTTTTATACCTCGCATTGCTTTAGAGCTATTGTAAAAATAAAGTTTTGGACATGTAACGATGTTGACCTTTGACAAAAGATTAAGGTCAGACATCCACTAAAAGTTTCAGAAAATCAATTGTTTAGGGGTCCAAGCTGTTATTTTTCTCCTGAAGTTTTGAAATATGAAAATCTCCCAAAAACTTACTTTAAAATTTGATATAAAAGGTGTTTAATAAATTGGATTGAATGGATTCACTACAGAAAATATGAAAAAGTTACTTCATCATGTCCATTGATGTATTGTAGAACCATATTACAAAAGGAGTAATGGTCCTATAATACATTAAAGAACATGATAAAGTCCATAATATTTTCAAATCCTATTGTGAATCATTCATTCAATCCAATTTTAAACAAAAAATATCACATGGAAAGAATCAGTCATAGATTTAAAGCAAGTTTCAAATAATAGAAATGTAATTCATTCATTTTCATAAATTTAAATATATTTAATTTAAATACATGTCACATGTATTAATTAAATCAATATACTGTTGAGGTCAAAGTTCTCTGTGAAATTGTCACATTTCAAATGATAAAAAACTATGGGTAGACAACCTTCAGCATAATAATTATCTCTTCAATATTCGTGTGATGTAATACTTGTAGTCATTTTCATAAAACAGAAACAGGTATTAGTTTTTTTTCACATAATTAGCACTTGATGATGTGTAAGTCATTGTGTATTATGCATAACTTTTCAACTCACAATTTTTTTTTTGTTCAAGACAATAAAACTTTTGGTCATTTTTGTTATTTATAATAAAAGATAACAATATTTTACTCATCTCATCTGGAAATACATATACAATAAAACATGCTTATAACAAAGAACTAAATACCAGGGACAGACGATTTTGCTTTGTTTTAACCATAATTTTTTTTAATATCTGTTAGTTAAATTACTTTTATATTTTTAAGACAGAGAATGAAAATCGCTTCACTATAAGCTTCAATTCATTATTCCTGTTGCAGACTGAATTGTCTAGTAATGCCAGGCTTTTTCTTGACATCTTAGCCATCCAGATTAAATGTTTGGACTTATGTTGTTCTTTCATCATGGAAATACTGCATGGAAGAAGCTTTTTCTTGTAGATATGTAAAAAATGCATTGAAAACCTGAAGATCCAAGCCCGTGCAAAAATTGAACAACTGATTATTTTTTCGGTACCATTTCAAGGTATATTTTAGAATCTCTTTGAACAGCACAGAAATTTGGGTCTTTGAAGTGAAATCAGCAAAAATATGGACCTTCCTCTCCAATATCCATCTAGAGTTGCCTTTCGTTCCTCTCTCAGACACTCTCCTTTGGAATGTATGAGCCGATGGAAGATAGTGCCTCTTTTCATCAGAAAGTATTTTCAAATAATCATGGCCATTGTTCTCTGGTGCCTGTTAAATTAATTAAGAAAGTAATCAGTAATTAATCATGCACACAATCCATAGAATTTTTAAAATATTTGCTAAATAATAGTTTATAAGTAAACAAACTTTTACAGATATATACAATTGCAATTGGTGTATATATATATATTTTTTAGATTTAGTCTGTTATTTCAAACAAAAAATTGAATTATATTTATGTATTGCCTTAACAGTTGCAGATGACTCTTGGTCAAATTCATGCTGTCCATCAGTAGCTGTTGGGTGTTTATCAGCCTTTGATGCAGTTTCTACTAAAATATAGAAAGTTAAACATTTAACTCATTGAAATTCCCTGCACTCTGTGAAGTATGTCTTTTAATAATCACTCCTTAAATAATAATAACTATTTTAACTGGTATCTGAAAAGGTGTTAAATCAGTCTTATTGCCAAATAAACATATTAGTTTACCTGTTCTTTCTGGAAAACAAGATGGGGTTGCTGTTACTGGCTTATAAGATCTTAAATATTTATTAGGACGCCTTCTACTAAATGTTCCCTATATGAATAAAAATAAAATATCATACAATCTACTTAGAAATATATATTAACCTTTTTAAAAAAAATATTATACATTTAAAAGAACACACATGCAACAGTCGCCCGCGTAGCGCAGTGGTTAGAGCGTCTGCTCCAGAGTCGCGAAGTAAGGAGTCAATCCTTACGTCGCGGGTTCGAATCCCACTGTGGGACGTGGAGACCGGTCCTTCGGATGAGACCGTATAAACCGAGGCCCCGTGTCGCAGTAGGTGCTGGCATGAAAAAGATCCCTCACTGCTCAAAGGCCTTGAGTGCCAAGCATAGGACAAAATTTGTAGCCCTCCACCAGCAAGTGTGGCGTCTCCATATGAGTGAAAAATTCTCGAGAGGGACGTTAAACAATATGCATTCAATCACATGCATGATGCTACAGGTTCAATAACACTGAACATTCATTTATTCAATTTATCAAGATTTTAACTGCAAAACTGGGCACCACCTTTAAGCAGAGTGTGTTATATCCCCCCCCCCCCAATATATTGATTTTCATTTTAGCACACAGTGTGCAGTCTGGGAGGTCTCATGTAATTTACATCTATTACTTTAGTCAACATTTTTAAAATCTAATTCTACAATTTTATATCAAAATTAAATAGGGATAAGGAATCACTGTCTAGTTAGTATATTGTATCATAAGTACATGTATGCCAGGCCAGTGACATCAACGCTAGTGGGAAACGTGAGATAATTTATGCATAAAGGGTCTACTAGTATCGTTGATGCCATAGAATACTAGGCCTATACTGTATACAAAGTAGACAGCGATTCCTTAAATGTAGTACATGACATAGTTGTATACTTATAAACATCATTTATACATGTATAAAACACAGATGTATTTAAAATCCAGTCGATTTTGTTTACGTATTGTTGCATTCTTACCTTGTGGGAAAATATTGTAGTGACTCTGTTCTTGTTCCCCGTTTTTCTAGCTGGATTTTGGATATGGGCATTGTTCAGCTAGGCCTCATCTTACATAGCTTTTGAACAAATGTTTTCGTGGGCAAAAATGACTTTTGTGTAACGTACGGTTGTAATCATCATCGAGTCCATGGAGTAACATGCACATTTTTACATTTCCGGAAGATCCACATTTTTTTCAGAACACGAATTAGTGTTTCAAACTGGCAAAAGAACTAAATAGATACAGAGTCTCTAATGACGCTTCGCCATGTTTTACCCCTGACCTTGCTTGAATGACAATTGTTTGTTTCGGGAGGGGGGGGGTGGTGGTAAGTCCCAAGTCTAACATCTTTCAGTACTATGTTTTTACACTAACTTACTACATTATATTGATTACATTAACAAAACAACGTTAACAACGCAAGGGTGTCAATGAACATTACTATAGTAAAAAAGTTATGACTGGAAAAAGTTCGGGGGGGGGGGGGGTATTTGATATCTAGATGTCGAACCATGGAAAGAGAAATAGTGTAAAAAAATTATGAAGGTTACGTTTAAAGCAAACCTTTCCGGCATGCTTGAATAAACACCTTTTATGTAACACTGGTTGTTAAAATGTAATAAATGGAGTCGCTTTCTATAAACTAGTATTTAAATTCTGGATAAATAAATTTCGAAAACTTTACTATGGTAGATTTAATTAAGCATCTTTACATTCAATGAAGTTAAAGTTTGTTTGTATGCGATGTTTGTGTGTGGGGGATGGGGTGAGTTTCAATTTCAATCTCAGCGGAAAGGTCTGAGAAGTTGCAAAAGGTCCGCTCCCCTTTTTGTGTCCAAAATATATACAAGTTTTAAATTTATATTCAAATTTTTTTAATGTGGCTCTGGTCCCCTACCCATACCCAAACTGTCCCTGTCCCTTTCAAGATTCCTGGATTTGCTACTGCTTGCATAATCTGAATGACAAAACTAGTTATTTCTGTCTTTACAAACATTGGCGTCGGAAGGGGGGGTTAAGTGGAAGAGAAAAAAAAATTCCAACCTACAAAAAAACTTGACAAGCCAAAAAAGGAAAATAAGTCCTTTGCCCAAACACGAAAATCCTCTTTCGTGGGGACGGGGGGGAGGGGGTGTCGAACTTCTTTCAAATTGTTTCCAGATACTACCACTTAACCTTCCTTGGCTTAATCTGCGACGTTCTTGTTGAAGTAAGGAGGGGGGGGGGGTGGGCTTAGCCTACATGTACGCTCCAATATCTATTACCTATACCATTGCTACCTTTGCAAAAAAAAGTGTGTGTGTGACTGGGGGTGGGGGGAGCCCCCCCCCCCTACCCATTCCGACGCCTATGACAAATATATGCATGTACATACTAGTACTTTTTTCCTTCTCCCTATTTCAAGGAATATCTCTTCTAGAAATGAATTTTCTTTTAAAAAAGAATAGAATTTGTTTGAAACGCTCACAGATGAATACTCGCGACTTTGAGTCTAGTTAGTAAGTATTTTATAGATCTTTCACTTGTACACCAGTTCTGAGCGGAGGGTGTGTATGATTCATGAATATATATAATAGTTTACAATAAATTTTCTTAGGTATGACTTTTGCATCAAGAATATTGCTTTTTTATCTGATTTATATATCGAATCTATGTTATTTGTTTGACATAAATTTTCCGTTTTCCGCTCCGTTCCGTTTTCCGTTCCGTTTTCCGTTCCGCGTTTTAGCAACACCCAGTTTGTAGGGCACCTGACTGGAGATTCAGGTTAGAGCATTTTAAGGGTTACAGGTAAACAAATATTAAATGGATATATGTAGTTATTAACTAAGACAGAAACCCCTTCCAAAACCAACACAGATGCCATTTAAGGAGATTATATTCAACTTGAAAGTTTAAGATAAATAGACAATATGTCAATTTCTAATATCTAAATTAAAAGTTAAAATAATAATTTCAATCTCCCACAATAACTTTAAGCTTAGGCGTTTTCTAGAACCTAACACACTTAGCAGAAAGTCGAATTTATTTATGTACGACTTAATCATCATTTTCCATTCCGGAAATTAAGAAAAATGACAACAGAAAGCGGCAAACGTGAAATTGACGACGTAGATGATGATGATTGTATCGGCCCTTTGCCGGAAGAAGCTGCAAAATCTAAGAAGAGGAAAGGTTTGAATTTTTGTTGGCGTTCTGATTATAGTTCACTCTCGTTTTGCTTAAGTTTTGTATTTTTTTATCAGAGAAAATTCGAAAGGTCTCTGTTTTTATCATTTAATAAATGATTTATAAATGTTTTTTTTCCCGTAGTTGATGTAGAGTTTAATTTGTTCAATATGCTTTAGATCTGCTGGTCTTTCCTAAAGTCTTTGCCATTTATTTAATCAAAAGTCAGAATACAATCTCACAATTATAAAAAGAAGTATGTTGACGTTCACTCTATTTTTTGTAGTGTTGGAATATGAGCAAGTTTATTTGGACAATCTCCCAAATGCAGAGGCATATGAGAAAAGTTATATGCACAGGGATGTTGTTACTCATGTGGCTGTTTCCAAGTATGAGTTTTACATCATGACAAGTTCAACAAAAAGGATAAGATTAAATTCATACTATGACCAGGTCCAGTCCAAAGATTATTTCTACCTACGTAGCTATTAATCAGTGTTAATAGCTACGTAGGTATTTAAACCTACCCAAAGAAGCTATTTGTACCTACTTTTTGTATTATCTGCATTTTGTGGCCAAAAGACCGAATGGCGGAACATGGTGAATACCATTTTTTCTTTATACAGTCACACTAATGATGAATAAGACAAAATTTTTACCAAAAAATGATTACTTCATGAATTGGCAATTTTACATTTGTTTCTATGAAAAATTGAAAGTATACAAAGTAATCATTTTTAAGCCAAATTTTTGTCATATCCATCATCAGTGTGACTGTATCAAAACATTTTGTGCTCACCTTGCTCACAAAATGCAAGTAAAGCAGAAAGTAGGTAAAAATAGCTACTTTGGGTAGGTTGAAATACCTATGTAGCTTTTACTAGCTACGTAGGTAGAAATAGTCTTTGAACTAGACCTGATGACATTTAAATTCAGCACACACTATATTCTTTCAATATAAAGTCAAGATTTCGGAGTAAATTTCTCTTAGACATGAACATAAATCACTAAGCAATTACAAATTAGAATTTGTTGTGATCGAGGCTTAAAATTTGTATATAATTTTTTTTTCTCTTGAATTTGTCTCTCCTGATACAAAATTCCTTTTCATATGACTTCTTTGCAATTGAAATTTCTCAGATATGACTTTATTGTGACTGCAAGCTGTGATGGTCATGTGAAATTCTGGAAGAAAAATGAAGAAGAAGGAATTGAATTTGTCAAGCATTTTAGAAGTCATTTAGGTATAAAATTATATATATATTTGAAAATTAAAATAATTTATATTAAGTTTTGATGTACTGTTTATGTGCAGTAGAAAAAAGTTACATTAAGTATACAATTTTTTGCAATGCATATACGGTACAATATGTAATTCTAAATCATAATTTGCAAGAAATGAGAATTTGTTTTCATTTACAGGAAATATTGAAGACCTAGGAATGAGTGATAATGGAGAGTTATGTTGCACCATATCAGATGACAAATCAGCCAAAATATTTGATGTTGTTAACTTTGGTATGTGTCAGGTTCAGTTGAGCTCAGTCAGCTCACTTTACATATAAATGCAAGTGTATACATGTAGAACTATTATATCTTCTTATTTAATATTTTCTGGAATCCTGTGATATACTTATTAATTTAAAATTGCCACAAATATATTTAATTTTTTATCATTGCATAAATGTGAATGTTACATTACCAGCAACTAGAGAATTAATTTCAACGTTTTGAAATGAAGAACTACTTGTTATCATATAACACAAAAATAATCTTGTTGTATTTCTACTGTTTGACTAGTTCTTGATTTATGTAGACATGATAACAATGATCAAGTTGACCTTTGCTCCCTTGGCCTGCGGCTGGCTGTATAAGTCAGGGGACATCATTCAAGCACTAGCAGTGTAAGTTATGTATGGAAACTATTACTGGATTGTTTGGAAGATATATTGGTATTGAAATGTATTTGGATGCATCACAATTATTGTATATGTGCATAAGATACATATATATATGTGAATATATGAATGCTATAAATTATACAGTTATGGAATGGGTACGAGGGAAATAGCAAATTTATGGTTGCCCGAGGGAGGAAACTATTTCCCGAGGGGGCTTTCTCCGCCGAGGGAAATAGTTTCCTGCCGAGGGGAACCATAAATTTGCTATTTCCCGAGTTCCCATTCTATAACTGTTTTATTATATAAAAACAATCATAGGTGATTTAATTTTGTTTAACCAGATATTCCGACATTTTAAAAAAAAAACACTGTAGAGGCATAATTACAAATGCATGCGGTTTAACACATTGTATGATAGTAATGCATCGTATTCTAAAACAATAAAATTATTTTTAAAAAGTATTTTCACTGACATTTCGAAGAATTATCATTGTCTTCATTTTGCTAGAATTCAAGTATGATTTTGACATCGCATGTCGAAATGTTTTGACGTCATAGTTACATTGCTAATAACATGACGTCACAGACTCGAGATTCCTTGAATGCTCCGCCCACTGAACACTTTGATTGGTTAAAATTACTAATAAATATTCATGAGGGAGTAGTCCCAGGGAGTAGCTCTGATTTTCCAAGGAGTAGTCTTCAGATGAGGGCAATAGTCTCTTCTCGGGGAAATAGACAGTTTCATGGTATTAATTTTATATAGAGTAATTACAGTAGAGGTATCAAAGTATAATTTCCCAGACTTATATTTATAATATTAGTTATGTTTTAAACACAAACCTGTCAAGGAACACATGGTGACCTTTAATTTGAAAAGTCTGCACAAGTATTTGACAACTCTTTTTCCTTTAATCATATATGAAAACCTAAAATCATAACTGTAGCCATCTTCATAACATTTCATAAATATCTGGGAAAAAAAATTGTTTAATGAGATTCTTTATAATCATGCAGCTCACATATGAGGCAATAATGGTGATTTAATTGACAGTGAAGACCCACCTATCCAATTCTTAATGTACCCTATTAGTAAACAGTCTTTGAAAACCCTGGACCTATTCAACTTTTCATTCTCTCTTCATCACCCCACAAAGGCTACTTGTGCTATTTTAAATTCTGCAGATGTGAATATTTTGCAATATTGTTGAATTTATACAGATATTTTTATTGCTACATGTACAAGTACCAACCTTGAAAAAAATTCTCTTGACAGGTTTGCTACATATATATTCAGGTCCAGTACAATCACTAGATTTAGCTACGTAGGTATTTTTGATAGAAATAAATTACTTTGGTAGCTAAATAAAGCTACTTCAGGTAGGTGAATAAAGCTAACTAAGTAGGTAAATCAAACTATATCTAATGATTGTACCAGGCCTGATAGTGTCTTGTAAAAAATCTTCTCTTCTCCATAATCAACATGATCAAGTCCCCATTAAAATTATTTATTTATTTATTTTTTATATATCAATAAGCCTTTTTATAAGGTACATAGTATTATAAACCAAGATCCACCTACCTGTTTCTTTTTCAAATTCAAACATTGTTGATTCGGTATCATCATCACTACATCCGACTTGCTACCAAATGAATGTTCGCTGTCAGAATCATATTCATCAAAATCAGAGCCAGAATATGAAGACTCGTTAGCAATTCACGCACCTGGATCTTTTTCTGAGGACGTACAAAACGGTAACAAAACGTCTCAGGATGCCACAATGTTTACATGTGGTTACGGAAACGTACATCGAACCCGATGGTTTTCATAATTTTTATGCATTTTATACAGAGGCCACTAGTATATACGTAACAAATTACTTTCACAGGAGGGACAATTTTCTTCAAATCACAGATAATTTGTGCCTAAAACGATTAGATGACAGACATCTGTTTATAAACTTCGTAAACATAATCATTATCTACCTTCTCTACAGAAGAGCGCAACAGGGGAGATAATTCTAACAAAATCTAAATAAAAAGTAAAATACGTTTTTACACAGGAAAAGCAGGAAAAAATATATTTATAGCTTTTATAAAATTAAAAATAATTTTCATTCTTTATATTTGTAAATATTTTACACAAAATTCATTAAAATTACTGTTTAAAGTAAAACTTATAAAATCATGAATTTTTCCCTCATTTGAATTTGAGGTAATTTCATTACGATATAACTTTTTTGTCCTTGAGAGTCCAAAGGTGGATTTTACATATTGTTTAGATAATATCCCAGAGATTCTTAAATGCACAAAATTCTGAAAAAAGAAGCGTTACTTTCCAAGAAATGTATCCCTGAATATTAACAAAAAATGAACCATTGCCATTTCTTGGCACCATGCCAATATTTGTGCCCTCGGGACAGCCTTCTGTATAGGGGTTTTACAAAAAAATTGATTCCAACTTAATTTTACGACTTATTTCTATGAGAACACATTGCCCTTTTATTTATATATTGTTTTTTCTTTTTTATTTTTAAATATTGAAATTGTCATTTTTACACCGACTTTTTTGCATTTTCCTTTGAATATTGACCAAAATGAATTATTGGCTGTTACTAAAAATAGAAACAACCGATGCAAAAATAAACAACATATTTCTGACTCTCAATGGGTGTCCTTTAAGTTAATAATAAAAATTAGTTTGTTCTTGAGAGTGCCTACCAGAGCATTTTTCTATATATCTGCATGGTTTTCTCGTAGACAGGCTCTTAACGCGGCTACAGAATTCAGCAAAGCCTTAAAAAATCCAAAAAAATACGCAAACTGTGCATTAATGTTCTCTCTACAACCATTTGTTGAGAAAATGTCCTAAATTATGCACTTTTAAATGATAATTTCAAGTTCAAAACAATGTATCGTTGTCTTCAAAAGAGTGTAAAGAACCATGAAAGTAGTTCATGGATAGCAGCACGTGGTCTATTTTTAGCACAAAATTTTGTTTTCCAGACCTCTTCTTAATATGGAGGGACATAACAATCTTTAAATATAGAAGAGAATTACAAAAAAAAAATATTTCAAATAATATGAACACTTTTAAAAGAGGAAATGTGTTATAGTGTTCTTGAAGTAATTTATTTAGTATTATTTAGTATTATTTTCAAATAGCTGTTAAATAGTGTACGTATTGATATAAAAAAAATCTTAAACTCTTTGATTCCAGGTAGGGAAAAATGAGCACCACCAAAGTTAAAAATTAAGAGTTTGTAAGTTTGCCACAGATAACTTATATATATCTATCAAAAGTTTAATTATCACCATTAAAACACAAAGAAATTAAACACATAAAATCCATATGAATGACCTTGTTTTAGTACCTACTAGTACGAGGGGTGATAAAAAAGTTCGCGAAATATCTCTATACATGTGTATCTACAAAACCACAATTCACATTATAAACAAATTTGGTGCCAAACACAAGTTCTATAAATAGCATATGCTGAATAAAGTTTTGCTCACAATGTGAAAATGTCGTCATTATGCAGGTACTTGTGACGAAAAATGGTTGTCTCAGTGGAACTCGTTCAACAAACGACTAAAATATTTATGGTATATCTTAAAAATGCCTTTGGGAGTAGCGTATAAGAATTTGTTCACCGTTTATTAAGACAAAGACTTCCTATAAATTCAATCAATGACTGGATAGATCGTTTTAGTGAAGAAGGAAGGCAGATGGTTAGATGATACTTGTTATGTTGCCCGGTGGAAGCAAGTTTGAAAAGGGATGTGTTTTTAATTAAGCAATATGCTATCAAAGACCTCCAATTTACATTTTGAAAAATACTTGAAAATTTCAACAATAATATAACTATCAAATACCTAAGATATCGTTTATTTTTTGATCACCCCTCGTATACTCTGTCAAATAAAACATTTACAATTTTCGATCATTACAGGGAGAACATTTGAAAAGGCAATAAAATCATTCGATGGGTTTAAAAGATTTAATGAATAAAAAAAACTTTTTTTCTATTTGCCCATTTTGTAAAATTACAATTTTACAGAGTAAAAAAAAAAAATAACATAATTAAATTTTTTATACCATTTTTTAAAATGAGTTTGGTGGTTCTCCCAACTGGGAAAAATTTTGGGGTGGTATCTATAGGTGAGAAAAAAATTCCTTAAAATTTAAACATATTTGTTGACGGAAAAAAAAAAATATCGTGAAATGGGATGTAAAAAAAATTGAGTGGGTTTTCTAGGGGCAGGGAAGAGGGAAAAATTTTTTTAACAATGGCTCAAAGGAGAACATGTTCCATCACATACTTAAATAAAACTTTTTGAATTTTTGGCACTTTTTTAAAAACAAACATAGGAATTTTGGGGGGGGGGGTTCCCTTTACTTTTTTTTGCGATGATAGACATAGCATATGCAATGGCCCTTTTCTTTCAAACATTGTGCTTGCTTCTAAATTTCAAAGAAACAACTAAAAAATTTTATCAAGCTTCGTATGTTCAATGAGCGAAGTTAAGTTGTAAAAAAAGACATATGCGTTTTTATGTCCAAACATTACTCCATACAATGTGTGATATTTTAAACAATCTAGCTATTTATGTGAGGTGCCTAAAGGAAATTTGTAACTTTTCCATTTTTTTTATAACTGCTAAACAAAAAGACATATGTACCCAAATTTTCGAATGTAAGACACGTAATTACATTTTTTTTTCATGCACCGCATATTGTTTAACATTTTTAAATTAAAGTTAGATCCCCCTTTTTATACCCCCTTTGAAAAAAACTTCTATCGCCACAAAAAAAAACCCACATAAACACATATGTTTAGGACATTTTTTTTCTTTTTTTTTTAGTTTTAAAAAACCAAACATTATCAAACTTTTCCATGAAAAATTAAAATATCAGGAATAAAGCACTATCCACAGCAATATATACATGTGCCAACCACGTGTCGGGAATGATATTAACAAGGAAATTCGAGCTTTAAACAGAAC